AGCAGCCCGCAGTCCCTGCGCTCCCGGTCCAAGGAGGCCTGGAGAGGATGCACGTTTTAGCTGAGCGCAGTCTTTGGCTGGAGATGAAAGGCGCTCCCTCCGCCCCAGAGAACCACCGCTGGAAGGCGAGCCGGCGGGGGCTTTCTCTGTGGCCGGGCAGGGGCACTCAGCCCAAAGCCTCTTTGACTATAGTCTCTTTTGCTGGGAACCTCGAGAGATTTTTTTTTTATTTTTTTATTTTTTATGCAGAGTAGTGTGGAAGCGCCTGTCACCCTTGCCCTGGAGACTTACTCAGCTGCACTCAAAGATCTCCTTCCTTGCACTCACCTCACCCCCAAATCGACTTCCTGAAATGAACTATACATTAAACAGTCTCAAACGCTAAAGTGGACCACTGACACTTGTCCGGGACGGGGGTAAGGCGGCGGCGAGAGTGGGGAGTGGGAGAGCGTCGGTTCTGGCACCTGGGGCAAGAGATGGGCAAAAGTGGTCACCTTCGTTTCCAACGCAGGAAACTCGAGAGCTTCCTGGTTTTCCCCTTCTCGTGTTTGCCCCCACCCTTCATCCTCTCGGAGGTTCTAAAGGAGGCCCGAGGAACGAGATCCGCTTTACCATCGCGTTTGGGTTATTGCGTATCTGGGAAAGTAAACAGGAGTGTTCGAGTCACCTGATTTGTTTTCTGTAAGCAAATAATACCCAAAAGCATGGCTGTAATTTACCTCGAATTAAAATTGATTCTTTTCATCAGGCAAGAAAATAGGAAAATGTGAGATCGTTAATTATTGAGGGAGGCGCTGCTCATTAGAGGGAACAATGTTACAATTCAGCACTTAATAGCGGGAATGTGAATAATAACGCGCCATATTTCAGCCCACTGTCTGCAAAGATAAGAGAGCAGTTTACAAACAACCCAGGCAGCCCAAAGTTACATTTAATCAACACCCAAGGTCTCTGTAAGTGGAAAAAGCAATCAGGGCGCTGAGCACAGTACCCAACTCTTCAAGAGCAGCCGGTGTATATTTTTATTCTGTCTCTCTGACTGTACATGGGATTCACAATAAATGCATCAATACAATTGGGAGGTATCAGAAGTACAAACCTAATCAGTATCTATCCATCATTAAGACAGTTGCTGGCCAGATCTCCCCTCTCACCCACCTATTCAACCAGTCACGCCATATTTCTAAGTCTTGCTCTGGACCAGGATGGCAAAGCGGGAGAAAAGACACCGATTTTGTAGTTGCCTGTTCTTGTACCCATCGAGTGTTTTAAATATATATACTTAAATATATATTTACATATATTTAAAGCTATGTCTCCGAGAAAGCCGACTTCTTGCAAAACTACAAAGTTGTTTGGCTGGGTCTGGGCACAGGGCAGAGAGAGTGGGAGCGGGTTCCTTGGCCTTTAAATGCTCTTTGTGCTTCGTTAAAAGGGAGAAGGTGAGGAAAGAAGAAAGAAAAAAATGATTTCCCTGTGCATCGCCCCTTGGCAGGCTCTTGTACAAAATTCAATCTCTATTTTTTATGAGAAGTAAACTGTCTAAATAAATTTTATTAGGGGCAACCAATATATTTTCTGGTAGTTCCCTTTGTTCCACTTCTACGTGTGTGTAACAATCTAAAACCTATTTATTGAGGAAAAATCACTGGATCCGTCATAGAAAATCCTTTTACTTTGCTTTGAAGTGATTTCTGAAGACATTATTGTCATTCTGAAGATTTGGGGGTCATTGCGCTAAAATCTCGCCTTGTTAGGGACTTCAGTTCCCATGATCATGTGGGAAATGCCTTACATTATCAACAGCAATGGGCCTGACCGGTACTTTCCCGGCTGCCCCGGGAAGGCGGGGAGATGACGGGGAATAAAACTCTGGTAAATACATCTCAGGCCCTGCCCAGGTGAATTCAGACACTGGCCAAAAGGAGCTCCGAAGGGGAAGAAGGTCGACGCAGGGGCGAGCATCTTCTGTCCAGACTGTTGTCATTTTCCTCGCCACGCCTGCTGCCAGCGTGCTCGGGACTCCGGGCTGCAGCTGGCGCCCTCCCCACCTCGACGCCCCCCCCCCGCCCCGTACCCCCTCCCACTCTCAGATTTCCTTCTCCCCCCTTTCCTATAAAGGAAACCCCCACCCCATGCTTATGCTCCGAAGTCTTGGAAGAAATGATTTAGTTTGTTTATACTGCTATAAAAATCAAGACCAATAGAAAAGTCATAAAATGAAGCGGGCTATCAATCACGCCGCAACATTGTTATTCAGCGGTTACTAACAGAGATGGATAATCCTTTGATTTCGTCCCATTGTTATTACTCTGATGTGTCTTCGCATTAACTATTACACATTTATTTATCGACCCGAAAAATACAACAAAAAGGGATATACGAGCGGTGCATGTGAGAGGACGCTGAGCGGCGGGCGGTTGTTCTGGGAGCGGCTGCGGAATGAAGGCGCGAACGCCTGTGTGCGCGATGGTGTGGGCTGGGGGCCTTCTCTTCCCTCGTCCTGGAGTCTCCTCCCTCCCTCCAGACAGGGTACGGAGCTCCCGCAGTGCGGGCCGCAGCAGAACTGCCTGTTTGGAAAAGCGGGGTGCCTCTGTCGGGGCCCGTGTTTTCCTCCTACACTTGTCCGCACCTCCTCCCCTGCATTCCGGTCTTGGGTACCCCTCAAGCCCCACTCCGGCTGGGCATAAATCCCCTAGAGTCCGCGGGAACGTGCAGCCAGGTGCGCACTAGAAAGCTACGTCCCGGGCACTCGCCGCTCTGCCCCGGGCCTTCATCCCGCCTCCTGCCCCTTGCGCCCAGCGCCGTAGCACTAGATTTGGGGTTTTGTTTGGGGAAGGGGAAGCATTTATTGTAGGAACTCTATTTGCTTTAGGTCTAGATATTTTCCTTTCAAGCAAATCCTTTGTCGAAAGCACGCGAGGCGCTAGTCGCGCATCCTCGCGGCTCCCAAACACACCGCCGCATCCTGGACTCTACAAAGCCGGAGGCCCGCGGCTCCGGCGCTTCAGTCCCACAGAGGCCGCCTTGGCAGCAGCTGCAGCGGCTACTGAAGTTCGGCCAGGCCCGGAGCTTCGGGGAAAATGGTTTTCTCAGCTCGGAAGGAACTGGTGTGGCTGATGTCCGGCACTCACATGTGTGTGTGTGCACGTGTGCGGGCGCGCACGTGTGTGTTCATGGGAGGAGGGAAACGGGCTGCAGGAGAGGAGGTGGAAGCAAAACTGCCCCAGAGTTCTTATTGCCTGCTCCTTTGTCTCCTTGCTCCGTCCCTGTCACACACCCAACTAAGGGCGCGCGCGCGCGCACACACACACACGCACGCACACACAATTCCTCTAGCATCTGCTCTCAGGCAGCATTTCCAATGTTTTGTGTAAGTCAATTGGACAGCGAACAAAAAAAGCCATTTGCTCGGTATTATTTAAAACAGACTTCATAGGGCCACCCTTTTGTGGAAGCTTTATTTGCACTAAATGAATAATCTTAATTGCATCACTCTCGAATTAAAAATCAATGCTAATCAAGTTGAGAGTAGTAAATATCAGTTTTCATTGTGCCTGGATAGAGGGCATTTTTCTTGTGTTGCAAATAAAAATACAAGTCAAATAACTTTAAAAGGGCATTATGTTCTGCTACAAATACAATTGAAACGGATTGTTTAGGAGCAGATCAGAAATGGTACAGAATTTTGCACTTAATTTCCTCAGTTATCATTTACAATAAGAACCTCTGGGCTTGACAGCCAAGTCTAAACAGTAGTAAATTAGTACAAATTTATACTGATTTTACTCTAATAATCGTAATAAAAGCTTATAGATTTGGCACTAATTACATAAATGCCTAATGATCTTGAAAATTACTCTGGTTAGAAATATATTACTAATCTAAACTTTGTTGTTGGCTGGCTCTGAAAAATCAGAACATTAGAAATGGTTCGCTTCACTTGTGGAAAGCACTTTAAATTGTTCTAGTAGTTTAACATATTCAAGAGGAAAATAAATAGCATTTAACTTTATTTACAGTCATAAGTAGAGCTGAGAGCCCTGCAGAACTTAGAAACTTTGACCAAAAGATCGGGTTGTGGGCAAGGAAGCAAGCGTGCATCCTGCAGAGCAGCGGGAGCCGGGGCGGGAAGGGTGTGGAGCCGGAATCCACAACGTGCTGGGGACCTGAAAGCTGCTGGGAAGTCGACTGCTTTTCTGCGCTTTAGGCCTACCGAGGGGCTGGGACTGGAAAGGCCCAGGGTCCCAGCTAGGGATTCTGGACCTTAGGCCCAGGCCTGCTAGTTGGCGACTAAGTCTAATCGTGGTCTGGAGGCCGCGGTGTGCCCTTGTGTTCCAGGCTGGCAGGGCAGAGCCGCGGGAGGCTGGCAGGTGTCACCCAGAGGGCGCGGGCGGGGGGCACTCTCGGGTCACGCGCTTGTCATGCCCTGCTCGGTCCCCAGCCTTGCCTTTGCCTTTGCCTTGCCTTTGCTTCCTGAGCTAGGAAAATCCTAGCTCAAGGAGATAGAGCTGAGCCTTTGGAGCGAGCCGGGCGGGACAAGGAGAAGGAAAGGCGTTCCTGGAGAAATCGCAGGGAAACACTAACGGAGGCCCGGCCTGGAAGCCCAGGGCAACGCCGAGGCGGCCGCCGCTTCTGTAGCAGCTGCTCGGGGCTGGAGCCACCAGGGTTGCCACTGCCGCCTCCTCCGGGCGGGCGCGGGCGGGCGGGCGGGCGGGCGGAGTGGGGGACTCTCCGGGCTCTGACATTTGCAGGCTGCCCTCCTGATTGGTCCCCTCACCGAGCTGCTCACGGGTTCATTCAACTGTTAAGCACCTCCCCGTCTCTCTAAAGGACATTATAATGCAAGAAGCCCCCTTTTTAACCACAAACCGAATTTTCTTTCATTTAGGTGATCTATATATATCTATATCGTATAGCTTATAGCTTATATCTATTTTAAATAACTTAAAGCAGCTAAAATTTTGGGGGGAACAGCTTTCGCCCTGGAGCGGTGCGCGATGCTGTCTCACGCCGACCTCCTGGACGCCAGACTAGGTGAGTGCGCGCCTCTCGCCGGGGCAGCCAGGAGAAGCCGGAGCAGGAAATTGTCAATTTGTTCCTTATTTTACCTTAATGTGCCCTAAATGGACTAATTTCTTTAAAAGTAATTGTGCTGCATTAAAGTTTAATTTGATTTAACAACGTCCTTTAAAAAAAATCTATGGAATATGTAGATCCGAAAGAGGAGTGGGAAATGTTACTTTTTGTTTTTCCTATTTTTTTCTCTTACCCTCTCCCCCTTATTATTATTTTTTTGAAAGGCGATCCACCCCGTGATAATGTCTGTGGAGGTGTTTTTCTTTCTCTTTTTTCTTCCTGTTTCCTTGGATTTGGGATTTCTTTCTCCTCTTTTCTCTCTCTTTCTCTCTCTCCCCACTGCCCTTTTCTCCCCTCCTGGTCTAAGTGTGGTTGAATTTGTAAAAATCTGGCACGAAGAAGAAGCCTCTGCAATTGAAGCGATTTGCTAAGTGTGCTTATTGAGAAAAGAGAAAAGCCAAATTCATCCTCATAGGCATCTTTGCCTGCAAAAGACTTGGCATTGCCAATGGCTGAGAGGAATGCGCCTTTTATTTTTCCGGAAAGAGAAGCTGAATCCCCTAAAGTTTGATTCACTGCTGTCTATAGAGTTTACTTGAGTTTCTTTAATGCTGACTGGGTTTCCGGTTTGGGAATCTTTGGTGATGGATGTGACTCCATTTTCCAAACACTTTCTCTGATTTGAGGGGGAGGCGGAGCTGATTTGGGTTGATTTCGGGGGGTGGAAGACTTGGGGACTTATTCATCTTCCGAAAGTGAGAGGGAATCGGCTCAGGGCCGGAGGTAGAGTTTGTCACCCTGCCTAAGCGCACGCAGGTGGGGCAGCAACCGAGGAATTGTTTGATTTTTTGTTCTTTTCCTTTCCTTCCATTTTCCCTCTTGGATATGCTCTAAGGTTCCTGGGGCGACAGGTTATGGTTCATGAAAGGGACTCCGAGGCATGTTTCATTGCCGAGATGGGAGTGTTTCGTTGTGGGCCAGACGAGAGCATGCGCTGCCTTCTGGAGCCGGCTGCGGAAAGAGGGGAAAGGGCCGGGAAACGGGATCTCCCCTGGCTGTCCAAATCCTGGGGAGCGCAGCCGAGCATCTTGGGAGTTTCCTCCGTAGGGCGAACGTGGGCGCTGAGCGAGCCGAGGATGGGGCCGCAGGAGGACCGCGCGGGGAAGATAATCTCTTCTGGCACCGCTAGGAAGGTAGTGACCACAATCTCCTTGCCTTCTCAGGTATGAAAGATGCCGCCGAGCTTCTGGGCCACCGGGAGGCGGTGAAGTGTAGGCTGGGCGTGGGGGGCTCCGACCCCGGGGGCCATCCGGGGGACCTAGCGCCCAACTCCGACCCAGTCGAGGGAGCCACTCTGCTGCCCGGGGAGGACATCACCACTGTGGGCTCCACGCCGGCCTCGCTGGCGGTGAGTGCAAAGGACCCGGACAAGCAGCCGGGGCCACAGGGCGGCCCGAACCCCAGCCAAGCCGGCCAGCAGCAAGGCCAACAGAAGCAGAAGCGCCACCGGACGCGCTTCACTCCAGCGCAGCTCAACGAACTGGAGAGGAGCTTCGCCAAGACTCACTACCCCGACATCTTCATGCGCGAGGAGCTGGCACTGCGTATCGGGCTCACTGAGTCCCGAGTGCAGGTACGTGGGGTGTGGGCGCCGGGGCAGAACACAGGGAGAGGGCTGGAGGATTTGGGCAAAGGACGCGGGCGTCTTTCCTTCTTCTTCCCGGATCCTGGGCTTCTCTTCGGAAACCTTTGCTCCTCTGCCAGGAAACTGGTCCGGATCGCCACCCCCCAATGGACAGGCAGGGCCTCAGTATCCCACCAGTATAACCACGCCCCAGCAGAAACTCCTCCAAAGCGAAGTGCGCATTGTTCTACTGCTCGGTCTCCTCCTTCCTCCTGAGTAGGGGACCTCCGACTGACTCTCCCACCCTCTGCGTCTCCCAGGCGGCTAAGCCGAGAGAGCACGCGCTCCACTCCAGCTTGCGTTATTGACAAGTATTTCATTACCTTCTAATGAATTTGTGTTAAGGCCTGGATAAATGCGGGAATCAACAATTGTACAGAAACCATGAAAAGGGGGGGGGGAATAAATCGTAAAGGGCATCTTTTAAAAAAGATCCACACCTGGTTATCACGGTGCTTTATTCTCTTGAATATCACCATCCCACCGCTCTCAGGCAAAATACCCCTAGTTTTGATGCTTTCAAAGGGGACTTTGGTGGTCAACTAATGCGCGGAGGGCAGCCCCAGCGATGCTCCACAGCCTGTGAGACTTGGTTAAACCCTGAGAAAACAGAAGAGAAAATGAAGGCTTTCTGTTGTGGATATCGGACTTGAAGACAGAACATTTAGGGCAGGAAAGATTGACAGAAATACTAGACAAAATAATTACTGACCCTTGTTCTTGTCCAACCATCCTCCAAGTTTAAATCACATATTAACAGAAAGCCACATCTACAACTTTTCTGACAATTGGTAAATAAAAGCATAAGCAGAGTGAATCTCATCTTCCCCGCCCTGCTTTTTAACAAAAATGACAACAATGTATGAAACATTTTATGGGCAGGTGCTGGAGGCGAATTTCCAATATGCGCGCTTGATCGTGAGCTATCCAGGGTGCTGAAAAAATCTTCCTTTCCAGTCTTGGAGGTGGTGTTTTGTGTCCGTTAATCCTGGGCGTCGACCTCAGCTCTAGATTCTTCTACAAATTAAGTTTCAAGATCTCAGTTACTTTCCACTTGATCAGAGAGGGACAAGGATGGTCACAGTGTTGAGCATCTCAGTCCCCACTGGGCTAAACTGTGAAATACCGTGGGCTTCTGTTCTGTATAGTAAGCAAATGGATGTCATGAGGTACTTGAAGTGGTCAAATTAATAAAGGTATATTTAGGTATAATGTTATATTTAGGTAAATATTGATCTGAGTAGATCAACATTTCTACTCATTATAAACCTGGGTGGTTTCCTTAGAGAACTCTGGACCATGGGCTATTGATATTAAGCCAAAAATGTTAATTGCATTGTGCAGATACATATTACTAATGCCCTTAAAAATTTGTTTTTTACCTCGCATCTCTTTTTAAGTCTGAAGTTAAGTTTAAACCTTAAAGGAAACATACAATTTCAACATTTTTATTACTGGTAATGATAACAACAGCTTGTTAAAATCTTGTAGGTTCAAAATAATAAATTTGCTTTTTATCCCTCAAGAGAAATACTATCTAATATTTTTTAAAGTAAAATGCTGTTGCTTAACATAGGCATATTGGTAATTAGTTTAAATTAAAATAGAACTTAAAATCACAAATAAAATATAATTGGACAACTGATTTTATGAAAAAAAAGAAAGAAAATGAGATCTATTAAACTTTATTAGAACTCCCAAAGGTTAATGGCATTGAATCTTTTAATAGAAAAAGTTGTAAATGAAATAAAATACAAACTACATAATAGAAACAGTTATTTTCAAAAAGTACACAAAAGAATAATCAAGAAGAAAGAGACGAAGTACTTTAATTGTGGTAGCATAATGTTCAACCAAAGATAATAGCTTGAAGCTGCTGATAGGGACAATTTAATAGAATAGCAATTTCAATATTTTTAAAAATAATGTCCCATAGTTTAAAAAGTAATCAGATCAACATAACCTTTTTAATTAACATTTCAAAATGATTAACATTATGTAATGTAATGCAAAAATAATTTATGGAAAATGTATTTACTTCACAACTCACTGTACCATTGCTCCTTGACCAAATTCAAATTAAATAGTAATTGGTTTATGTTCTTATCTGATGAGTACTTCATAGTTTTCTTTATAGTTAACAGATTGTCACCCATTCTTTTCAGTACGTGGGCCACTGCGCTGATTAAAAATGATCTAAACATTTATTGCAATGGTATGTTTTTAAGCACACTTTCTAGTTCTAGACTAAATGATCTAGCATACTTATTTTTATCTATAACTGGTATATATCATATTTTTAAGTATTTATTAAAGCACCTCTACTCACTTGGAGGCCAATTCCGTGTCTGATATCGCTCCCCTTTTCTGGCAAGTATAATAAAACCATTCCTTTTATAGCATGCCATTATTAGAAACCAATTTCAGAATTATTTATAACCTGGAATGGCTTATTAAGCAGCAATGCGAGAATCATGCAAATTACACGATCAAATGCAATATAATAAGCATAATCATTAGTCTCTAGCACGGATTAATTAACTTTCAATATTTTATTTACATAAAAACCAAATCAGTGAAATAACTTCTGCACAGTCAGGCTTGCCTTTCAATATTTTATAGGAACAAAAATAATGTGCTGTAATTCCATTGACCGTGTCCCCCAGAATGGCCCTGTCACCTGCCACATCTTAATAGGGGGACAAGCTGAGAGTATTTTCTAGTTTTCTAATGGAATGAGAAATTGCATTTTCTTCCTCTCCCAGCACTATTAAAGTGTAATGAATTCGGCCCAGAGTTCACGGCTGGCTGATCGAAATGAACCTGAGATCTAGGCTTTAATACAGCTCCCCAGATTTCCTCCCAAATCTTCACATTAATCATTTGCTGGATTCCAATGAGATCTTCATAAAGCGTTTGCTTCAAAGGGGGAAAAAGTAATATTCTCTCCTCCCTCTCTTTCTTTATTTCTGAGCCATTTATAAGTGGGGAATTAAACGGGCTATATATTTTAAAATACATTTACAGTATGTCTATATTACTGTAACAGCAGATACCACAAAAGTGGATTTTTAAATTCCAGCCTCCATTAGATCCTCACTGTTGTATTAAGCATTTTCTGAGAAGAGCTGCATTTCAAACTGAGTACAAAGTTGGCCCGTGGCTGGGTTCATATATTTCCTGGAGTTGTCATCGGTGCATTCTCAAACTCTCCCTTAGGTTTTGCCTGCATTTTAATCTGCCATGCTCTAGTTTTCAAGTGGAAACATTCACATTTTAAAAACATATGCATCATAGCTTGGAACGGAGGTGCTCAGACCCCATGAAGATTTTGTTCCCCAACCCCAGTAAGCCATGAAACATAAAAAAATTTGTAGCCATCATTTGACTACTAACCCTCAAACATAATTGAGCACGATTTTTCGATTATTCCTGTAATAGTTAGCTCTTTTACAGATGTTCTTTTCCGCTTGTGCCTGAGATTCAGAAACCTTGCTGGCGAGTGTTTTCTACTGAAATTCCACCGAGCCATTCCTCCCCCTTCTTTCTTCTGTTCTCCCCACTCCTCACACAAGCCAGCCATCCTTATCCTCTGCTGTCCGCCCGAAACTCTGGCACATTTTGGGAGTCACTGACACTTACTAGGTGTTAGAAACCTGGTTTCAATTTATAGATATCTTTCAAAATATATCTGTGCGTGCAACGTGAGGTGCGGGGACAGTTTGGACACAGACACGGCCCCTCTCCAGTGCCTCGACTGATTTACTTACTCCCAATCCCGCCTTGGATGGATAACAAAGCGATCTGTGACCGCTGTACTTTCCTTGGCTTCCTGTGAGTTAACCTGCTGCCCAGGGCTTCTAACCACAGCTCCATTCCAGGGGCCGCACGGATCCCAGCCGCTGCCCCAGCCCTGCTGCCCCATTAATCCACTGCGCCACCAGCTCAAGGGGCTTTAGCAGAGAAGGGACCCGGGGTCTTTACCCAACCCAGACACTGGTGTAAACAGAAATGTGGGAAATGGGGTAGAAACCAGTGAAACATAAAACGGTGGCTTGGATATAATGTTTACCAGGCAATGGCCGGGGCAAATGTGGGCAGAATTGTAGACTGCAAAATGCCATTCACACTGGTAAGCGGAGAGTGTGTCTCCACTTGGCAGATGTGAAGGTATTTCAGTGCATAGCTGTCTTACCAGAAAGGGGGTCAGGTACACCCAGACTCGTGATACTTCAGCTTGCAGAATAAACACTAAAGAGCTTGGATTGACGGACAAATACCCTTGTGGTCACAAATTTGGTGGTCAAATTGCATGGGTCAAATTCTAAGAGGAAACTCCATCGGTATCGGAGCTGTGTTCCACATCATTTGTATTTATGCACAGAAAGCCTCCAAGTGACTGGATATTAAATTGCATGCCTGCCAAGTAGGCATGCTGGCTATTTTTTAAAAAGAAGATCAAATTAAAATATGGGGAATGAGAGGTTATCTTGGTCAGGCAGTTTACTTGGTATCTTTCAGGAACAAAGGCTCCTTTCCCTGTGGTCGTGAGTTTGACATTCATAGGCAAATTTGTCTGGTAAGGTCTGAAATTCCATGGTCACAGTTAAGAAAGCACAGTAGGCTTATTTTCACGTGGAGTTTATTTCATCAAAAACATCTCCTTAAAAAGACATATGGGTTTGTATAGCAAAATTAAAGTAGACTTATAAGCAGTATGGGCTTTAAACTTGACCTCCTTTAATTTGTAGTGGTCAGAAAATTTGCTTTTAGTTTATGGGTGAGGGTATGGTGTGAGGGAACTGGAGGCCTTGTTATTTGGGATCTTGAAAAGAATAGACTTGAAGGCCCTGGGTCTCAGGGCTCTGGCAGCAGGTTCCAGCTCACCTGCACAGCCCACATAAAGGGGCCTTTAGAGGGGTCGTGAATGGAGCACAGAGACTCGCGTCAGTAGAACGTGAAAGTCACGACGGCAACCGAAACAACACCGTAGCTCAGTGCCGCTCGCTTTCCCACACGAATCACTATATTAACCTCTCCGCTCTGTCATCCGTGGCGTTAGGGGTTTTCCTTTGTCTTTCGATTTTGAAACTGGCTATGTCATGCAGGGCCTTTCATCAATTTCCAAATTTCCAGCGTTTCTGAAAATTCTATACCCCATCAGTGTTATAAGGCACGCTATTAAGCCACATGGGTACACATGTTTATCTTCATTTGTACACCTGTGGATCCAGCCTTGACACATGCCTGCCTGCAGACCTGTGCATCTAAGCCGCGCATCGAATGCGCCAGCACGCAGGTGCGTGGTGAACGCAGCACACGGTTTATGTTTGCACTGCGTGTAAGCATCCCTGTATGATCACATAGGAGTAAGGGAATGGGTACTCGGTGGGTGCAAGGAGTGCCGGAGCTGTTGGAAAACCAGGGTCTCTAGCTGGAGTTGTTCTGCCTGGGGCTGAGTGGGTGTACCTTACGCGGAATTCTCGGATTTAAGCCCCTGTGCCTTGTTGGCTGCCGGCTTCCTAATAGCGCCCTGTTTGTCTCCCCACCTTGTCCGCTCCAGGTCTGGTTCCAGAACCGGCGCGCTAAGTGGAAGAAGCGCAAGAAGACCACCAATGTGTTCCGCGCGCCCGGAACGCTGCTGCCCACCCCAGGCTTGCCTCAGTTTCCCTCAGCCGCTGCCGCGGCTGCCGCCGCCATGGGCGACAGCCTTTGCTCATTCCACGCCAACGACACCCGCTGGGCGGCGGCAGCCATGCCGGGGGTGTCACAGCTGCCGCTGCCGCCCGCTCTGGGCAGGCAGCAAGCCATGGCGCAGTCGCTGTCCCAGTGCAGCCTGGCGGCGGGGCCGCCGCCCAACTCCATGGGCCTGTCCAACAGTCTGGCCGGCTCCAACGGCGCAGGGCTGCAGTCGCACCTCTACCAGCCGGCCTTCCCCGGCATGGTGCCCGCCTCCCTCCCCGGCCCCAGCAACGTCTCTGGCTCGCCCCAGCTCTGCAGCTCCCCGGACAGCAGCGATGTGTGGCGGGGCACGAGTATCGCCTCCCTGCGTCGTAAGGCGCTAGAGCACACAGTCTCCATGAGCTTCACTTAATGCAGCCACGCCCGGCCTGCTCCGTCCCCGGCACCACCCCAAGGACCCTCGGGCGCGCGCCCGGGGCCCCCTAGCTTCCCGGGCCCCTGCCTGCGTGCCCTGCCCCGTCCCGACCCACGCCTCCGCCACTCCTCGTTTGGTCCTCTCCTCCTCCACTCTCTCGGTCTCACGCCAAGCTCCAGCACACCAAGCCTCTCCTCCGCCAGATTTCGCTCACTCCAGTCTCCCCTTCCCCCTTATTCCCCCCACCCCCCCGCCAGCCCTTCTAACCCTGTCACCCAATTCCTCCTGCCACCCCATCTGTAGCGCCTGATCCCACCGTTTCCTGCTATACCGGCCTCCCCGCTTGCACTAGTCGTGCTAGCGCCCTCTTCCCGGCCTTCTGACGGGCGCCGTTCCCACCCGCACCTTCAACACGATGCCTACGACCCCCTCGCCAGCAGCCTTTCCTCTGGTCCCTTCTTTCCCTGTGTCACGTGTCCCTCCTCCCGCGCCCAGCAAAAAAAGCATCCTTCCCACCATTTTACTTACCAGGGAGTCGACTCAGGATCTGAAATCAAACACCAATGGACTGGTTTGTGGGCAGAAACACACACACTCGCACTCTCGCTCACTCTCAGACACTATACACGCACACGCGTGCGCGCACACACACACAGTACACCTAAGTCACACACAGACGTGTTCAAGGGACAGCACAATGTTGGGGATTTTTGTCTTAAAGGAGGACAAGCATCTGCTACCAACAGCCATCTGAGGGCCCAACTGATATCATTTGATTTATCCTTGCATTCTTTCTCCAAACTCCTCTTTGTTTACTCTTCCACCATCCTGCCCTTGCCTCATCCACCCAGTCACATCCATGCAATCCTCTATTGGCTTACAAAAAAAATTGTAATTTTATCCTACTTTTATTTTCTTAAGCACAACTGTGTGAGGGTATTGAAGAAGGGAAAGCTTCTCAGGAAGAACATGCCAGTGGATTGGGTGGCTGGAGTGGACTAAAGCAGTCATGTGATGAAGAGGCGATCTTATCCATTTTGATAAGTCTTTATAAGAAATAATAACATGTAAGAAAATTTTCCTTTTGTAAACGCAAAAGCCACATTTTTTTTTTTTTTTTTTTATCCTTCCGGACTGGGGTTTGCTTTTGTTTCTCCTAGCTGCTCTGTGCCCTTGGTTGTTTTGTGGTCGTCCTGCCGTCCCTTGTGCCCCTCGGCCACTGCCCTGGCCCCTGCCGGCCACCTGTGGGTGCACTTGGACATCTACAGCCCTGCAACTTTGTACAGAGAAACACAATCAGCTCTTTCTGCATGTGCTGGTCAAATCCAAACCCAGAGAACAGAAGCGCTTTCGAAGAATGAACAAACATGTGAAATAGGATGTTTTGTGTAGATAAAGCATTCTTGTTACATACTGGTCAATTTGTGATATGTTTTAAGTTATTGTCTGTGCTTATTTATGGAATTTGGTTTTCTTAATAAATGTTTGAGCTAATACAAAGCATATTGACTCTTCCGGATGAGTTTATATCAAGTTAAATGTAAATGGATCAAATAAAATCATTTTCAGTATGTGATATGGAGAATGATGGGTTTTGGTGTGCCTTTGAGTGGGGTAACGGGAAGCGAGCCAGGACTGGAGGTTCTCAATTCGCACTCAACCTGCAGGACCTCGGCGTTCGGGACGCGTGCGCCCTTCAGGGGGCTTGGCTTCAGCCTCCGCCGTGCTCCGCCCGTCGGGACTCAGCCGACCGGAAACGAGAAGGCCGCGCCACGAGCGCCTCGTGCGAGCTCCAGGCCTCGCGAGGCTTGGGGGCGGCCCGGGGCTTTCGAGCCCGAGACGGACCTGGTCGCAGCTGCGCGCACTAATCGCCGGCCCAAGAGTAGATAAGCGTTTCAGGTGAACGGTTTCCCTCCGACACAGTAGTGTGGGGAGTCCCTTGCCCGGCTGGTGGAGTGTGATGGGAAGGCTGTGGGCCAACGCGAGGACCACCCTGGAGGGAGCACGGGGACTCGGCACTGTGCCCCCCGCCGTCGCCCAAAGCGTCAGGACTGCGGTAGGCAGTGGCCCCGAGAGACCCACGGCTCTTTCCTCCGCCAGGGCCTAGACGTCAGGCGGTCGGAGAGAGACCCCCGGGACTCCCTGGTGAGGGCAAAGGGCGAGTCGTCCTGAGAAGAGTGTCCAGGAGGACCAGGTGGCGGGTCTGCGCCCCTCTGGCTTTTCCTCCGCGGGCTGCACTGGTTCCCTCGGGGCCCAGACTGGGTTTGAGCTGAACTCGCTTTCAGGCACGCGATCGGCGGACTTCCCCAGACTAACTAGTGGTGGAAATCGCTGGGTCTTCGGTAGTTTGAGGGGGAAGGTTGTGTGTGTGTGTGTGTTTTAAATCTAATTAACAGTTGACATACAATATCATACTCGTTTCAGGTGTGCCACATAGTGATTAGGCATATATGTGACATACAAAGTGGTCATTCCTTAAGTCTAGTATGTGGGTGTGTTTTAAACTTGGAGGTGAGTCGATATCCGAGGCTTCCTTTGGAAGACTAACCAAACTCAGTCCTGGGGTTTGAAATTTAATTGTAATTATAGGCTTTGAGAGTGCACCCTTTTCCTTGGGAAGATTTCTGATTTGGTTGCCAGAGAGTGTAAACCCTAAAAACACCCTTGTCCTAGAATACAGTTTAGTATCACTGAGCTGTGAATTTTAGGAACTGTTGTAATTGTTACTCCACTAAGAGAACACAATGGAATCTTCTCGAAGGTGAGGACGAAGGGCATGGTTCTCTGTGATAAAGAAAAATAATATATTCATGTTACCTTAGGAATTTTAATTATAGGTAAAATTTTGGGGGTTCAAAGAATATTTAAACTCTACATTTCCTAAAAAGTATTTCTGATATAATGTTAAAATGGGATTTCATATAAAAATGGAACATTTCTGTTTTATAATTCACCCTAAAATTTAGCAGTGTAACAACCAAATTTCTAATATGTCTGTAGGTAAAAGAAAAAATACATTTCCTTGTTTTCACATTTTTCATATTCTTTTTCTTAGCTAATACTCTTTGAAAAATATTCAAATCATGGATACTGTACTCTCAAGTCACATTTAAGAGATTCAGTACAAATCACAGATTGCTTCACCAGTAAGCATGGAAGGTTGTTTACAAGGATGCTAATTTTACAGCTTTTTTATGCTGCTATAAAGCATAACTTTATGATGTAGGAATGCAATAAAGGATGCTAAATGGAATCTTTAAAAATTGTGTTTCTCAAAGGCAAGGGAAATGGGGTCTTTCATTTGAAAAAAATGAGCCAACTTAGAACACTGATGAGAAGTTACAAATCAAGCGAAGTGATAGATGCTTTCAAAGATACTTATATTTCATAATATCATGGTTATTTATCAATATTATAATGAAAGCATACAGAGTTTTTCACTTGACCTGACTGTGGAATAATATTTGTTTCTATGGCAATAGATTTTTGCATTAAGAATGCCGAGCATTTTAGTATCATGTACCATTAGCATAAGAGAAGACAACCTGGCCTAAATTGTTAAAGTTGATAATTTCGCAATGATAAAAAGCAGAGAGTGATAATCTCAATCACAAGCCTGAACAATTTCTGCAGTATGAGAGAGAACAAAAAACCTAACAACAATTATAATGCTTAATATTATTTTTTATTTCTTAGCAGCAATTTGGACTCAAAACTGTTCAAGTTATAATAATAAGCAATTACATTCAATAAAGGAATAAAGACGGTAATGATGAATAATATCTGAACAAAAGGTAGATAAGTACAACACAGTAGATGTCCTGCCTCTAATGAATTGTACTCTTTGCTGAATAGCCTATTTGGCATTGAATACTGTCACCAGTGCTAAGTGGAAGAAGTCAAAGTCTATTATGATGTAACTATATGATTGATTGATTTGAATACACATATTTATCCTTGTGTCTTTATTTTCTCCTCAATATTGGTACTAAATATCGTACATGGCATTAAGTGATGGCATAGTAATGATGTTGCACTTAGTGTACCTTTTGTTGATAGTGAAAGAAATAGGATATAGGAATTCAGCCTGTTAAAGATGATGTTAGGTATTGAATACAAACTAGGACACAGAGCAATTTGAGTAAAGCAAGGTAGATATGAATGGGGAACACAGAAGAAACTAACTTTGGGACAGTTTATGTTTGCCGCCTTCAGGGACTGCTGTCCCTGAAAATGAAAATGTTTTTAATTTGTGTTACGTAGTATGCATTTTAATTTTTAAGGTAAATAAAAAACTTAGCCCACAAAGGTATCGTCTAGTAAGGGTAGTAGTTAACCTGTCAGTTGAAAGAATGTAATCTTCCCTTTCTTCTTTTCATGACATAAAGGTATCTCATCTGAGGGCATTTATGTGAAGAAATAACAGCATGGCATGGTGAAACTACTGGCTCATTAATCCTGGCATCTACTTCCTACAGGGTCCCTTGATTAGTTAGATTCATTCATTGGGCATTTTGGAGTTTTTGATTTGTCATCATTGGATAGGTTCACTGAGTTCAGGCTAAATCGAGCCAGAAGCAATGTGTATTAGTAATTTTGTAGTACAGGCTATCCTAATAATTCAGCCCAAATATCTCATTTGAAAAATATCCATTTGCCCTCACTTCTAATGTGAGTTGCAGCTGTGTTCATAGGGAATTGAAAGAACACAAGTGATTGGGCATGTATTTTCTAAATTATTAATGTGATGGCTAATAGCTGTAAACCCATCCTCGTATCCAATGCAGAAATTATGATTCATTTAAAAAATGAAAGCAGCAACAAAGGGGGGCATACCCTGCCTGGCTCTCTGGTAACTCTCATCAGTGCCAAGCTTTTGGTACAGGAGCCATGGTCTGTTTAGCATGTGGCCATTACAGAGAGAATCAGAACAACGCCTTTCGCTCTTCCTCATGCTTGCTCTACCAAAACACGGTGTGGATTTTATCAGACTTACT